TATATATATATAGAACCATAGAACGATTATTACCACATAATTTGGCTACACACGTTTGTTGACCGATGTAGATCGAAGTGGATGATCCATAGATCCATTGATTCTGTTACCCGTTAGTGTAATCCGTCGTATTTAAGCCCGTAATGGGATCCAATATGTTTCCTAGGACATGTGATTTGGCTCTTGTCTCGCCAGTTCACCTCGAGTAAATCAAATAACCGTTGAGCGAAAGTCACTACTTATATAGAATAAGTAGTTGAATGAATAATGGGAGAAAGATCACTACAATTCGACAACACGAGTGCAGTCGATAAGCAACTCAATGTTGCCTCGTCCGATATTTGATGGTCAATATGCTAGAACAGCGGAAATGGTGAAGAAAAAGATTGGAAGGTACAACCCGATGGAAATTTTTGCCAGAAATAAAATACACTGAACAAAACGATCATTTGACCGTAACTCAATAATTATCGCATCGAGCAACGATGCAGTTTGAGTCCGTTGTGTTGAAACCAAGAACCTTAGAATCAATTATTTAACGGGCAATGAGAATGTTCTATTGAAAAATTCATTCGATTGATTGATATTTGAACAATTTTTTTCTCATCATTAGATGCGATCATCAAAGCGGACGGAAGAAATGTGGTAGAACGATATCACCAAGTGGAACCTGAATTCATGGTATGAAATGCTGATGCTCACAAGGAGTGAGGAAACAGAGTCAGTTCAGAAAAAGTGAGATTAGTCTTACGGCAAGTAAACCGGCTGCGTCAGCACTAAGCGCGTCTAATTCCAGGTCGAGTATATCAGATAGCACTCAAAATTAACAATCTCGGTAGAAGATAGAACCTTAAGTGAATTTTTCAAAAAGTTACTTAAGAAAGTACAAACGATAAAAGCTTCTCACTTTCCAGTTCGCAAAAAATTAACGTATCGCAAGGATCCACCGGAAGAGATTTACCGTCTTCGAAGTGAGAAGCAAATATCTCACAGAAACTTCCGGGCGAGTTACATGGTTTACATTTCTAGGGTTTGAGGAAGAATATTGGGGTTTAGCTCTAACAGTTGATAATCCGGATTCGATAAGTGAAAATAAGTGATGTGGATGGCAGTCACTGACTGGTAGATGCAAGTGCAGACACTGGCTTTAAACCGAATGATTATACGTAAAGAAAACTGGAGGAAGAGAGGCTTGGAGTATTCGTCAAAAATTAGATTAGAGAAAACAGACATTTACGGAATCAACTTCATGGTTGAATGATTGAGGGAGGGTCAGATATGCGACTGAGCAAGTTATTTGGAACCAGGTGTGAGTATCTGAACCCATAATCGTACATTATGTGACAAGAAGGAGAGGAGAATTGATGACACAATTGGTGAGGAAGGGTAAACTACTTTGCGAGGCTTCATGGCCATACTATAGTGCCTTTCTGGGCGACGATAAAAGCCTCGGTTAACACCTATTCCAAAAAAAGTAATTAAAAATGAAAGGAGTATCAACACCTTGCGTTATTTTCGCTGGTTGTATTGATATGTATGGTACTTTCCAGGCATGCTCTGCTGTAACGAAAACTGGCGAGTTAATCCATCGAATTCGGTGGCGGGCCAGAAGGTCACAGTGGGAATCCCGGGAATAAAAAAAAACCGACAGCAACGCTTTAAGTGACATGGTTGAAAAGCACACATCAGTCTTAATCAATGAAAAATATCTCCGTGGCTTACGCTGCACATCCGAAGATGTCATCATCAAACCATGAAACACTTACCTTAAAAGTGTAAGAGTCGATTTTCCGGTACTTCGATGGCGGATTAAGAATCGCATCCCCATAAAGTTCGACATCAACCTCATCAAATTCGTAGGATCCATGAATGACTGCATTTTTCTTTGGGTCTTCTGTAGAACAGTCCATTTTCGATTCGGCTGCATCGTTTTTCTCAACCACTTCGGAATCATTAGGCTGCTGTTCCTGTGAATCTTGTACCTAACATGATAGACAGGAGATTACCAAACAAGTAACTGTGGTACCAGGTGCTGTTTTTTTTTATTACATGCATGTAAATATAATAAGTGGTGTAAATTCTATAGTTTAAATATATGTGTACCGCACATGCAACAAAGAACACTGAACAGCCGTTTCGTCCCCGGAGGGACTCAGTAGCAGTGCATGCTATTATTGTTTCCCTGATCGGACTTGAATCGTGTACGTTCGTGTTTAGAACCGAAAGCCTAAACCCAGAGCCAGTTTGGCAGCAAAACATACTGGTGACCTTGGTCGTGCTCAACGAAACGACATCTGGCTGATCCATGATCCTTCCCTGATCTCCAACCTACAATCTTTAGCCCATCGTCGGGCAGTTGCTTCATTGTCCCTGGTCCACGGTTACTACTTCGGCGATGCCACTTCCTATAAATTTTGCCCGCCTTTATTGTATGCGGGCATCTAGCCATATTTACCATATTTCGGTCATTAGATGTTTTACTTCCCTTCCCCCTCCCGGGGAGGGGAAGCTTATAA